CTTCAATCAAAATGTTAGTGTTTAAAGCAGAAGTTCAACGTCGAAATATTAAGGAATAAATTTCCGTTATTCGTTTTCTGATTTTCGATGAATACGGAAATGGAAAATTTACGATTTGCAGGAAAAATCCATTGAACGACAAGAAGAATAAATCAAATGAAAGGAAAATACTGGAAGTTTCTTCAGAAATTTTTTATAAATAATCTAGAATTGATTGTAGAAAGTGAACAAAAACTCATTAAAAAATGTGACAATGAAATAATATTTCATCGGGAATAATCTATATTTTCTGAGTTTCTGAAGTCTTAAGATTCTTCTAATGAGAATGATGCAATCTTTCAATGAAAATATTACAAAAGTTTTCGAAATGCAAATTTAGAGTTGATAACATTATGGAACATTTTGGCATGAATTTTCATTGTTCAGTTTATAATTTGCATAATTTTCTTATGCCTCCTCAGAGACAAATTAAAAAGGATTATTATTAAGATTTACTGGAAAAAAATACCAAATGTTGAAAAATAATTAATACAACCTGACAGAACTACTGACATTATTTTAACAATTGTCCTCAATTTGAAACATAATGAAATAAAACAACCAAATGATTAGAGACTGAAATGAAGGTTTCACTAATTAATTGAACTTGAGTAATAATAAAGTAAGGAAATAAAAAGCATAAATTCCAATGAATGGAAAAAAAATTCTTCGAAGTTTGGACCTCAACTGAAAAAAAGATAATACCCTATATTGTTCGAGAATTGCCGAATTTTCGTTTGACAACTGGTCAACCGCAAATGGACATGTCACCCCTTCAATTTTCCCATCGATTTGACCACCACTTTCCCACTGCCAAAGCTGTCCCGCAGTTTTTCTTTCATCTCCGAGTGAAAAATCTTTTCTTCAGTGAAGCTGAGAAGACTGGGATCAAAGAGGTAAGCTGTGCATTTGCGAGAGGCCACGCGTATTTTGCACGCACATTTTTCGAACAAAAAAAAAAGAAAAAGAAAACCAAAGAATCGATGGACGATGGGAATCACCACAGGACTCCCTCCATTCTTCCCTCTTTTTCTTTTTAAGGACTTTCCGATGCCTGGTCACCCTTTTTCCACGGTTTTTCAGGGCAGATCAGTATCTCCTTTCTCTTCTCAATCTCCAGAAACTCGAGACACCAGGGCACAGTGGCCATGGTTTTACGTTCACGTATGATGGGAATGTAAATAAAGAGATGGTGATTTCGCACGATTTCACGTAAATGGGTCAACGTTTTCCACTAATCCCTTAAAAATCTCTTCCGGTTTTTCTCGGATAGTGTTTTCCATCCTTGGAAGGGTGTTTTCAAACGCGTTTCACAGTGCAAGATCTTGAGATTTTGTCAGGAAGTGTTTAAAGTTGAAGTAAATAATAGAAGAAGGGAAAAAACAATGAGAATGGTTTCATCGCTTCCACCAGTTATCAACTGGACGACATATCAACTAGGACATTTCAACTGCGACAAATCCACTGGGATTTTTCAACTACGATACTTAAACTTGGTTTTAAACAACTACTGACGGACAAAAAATTAACAATAATATAGCGGTAAACATAATTCTACATTTATTATTTGAACTTCCAAAAAAAAAACACATAAATACTTGAAATAAACAATCAATAAGCCCAAATTAGTTTAATCAATAGATACTCGCGGTTGTAAAACATCATTGTTCACCATTAATAACATCAATCATAATATATATAATGAACAAATAAACGATAATAAATAAGCATAAACCATAACACATTATCATTACACAGTAATATCAAATTTTCGTCAATTCCAGTCTATAATGAAAGACATTGAGCGATACCACAAAGATAATCTATCATATCGTTCTCTCGATTCAATTCTTTTGAAATGTTCATCAAAATTCAAGTTGAAATGGCGTAGTTGGAAAATTTTAGTTTTAATGTCGCAGTTGAAATATCACAGTTGATAAATTTTAGTTCAAAAGCCGCAGTTAAAATATCGTCTAGTTGATAAGAGGTGCCACCGTTTCATCATTTACCTGTGGAATTCATGTCTTTTCAACTACGACATTTCAACTGCTCAGATTTAAATACACGGCAAACGGACGAAATTATTATTAATTATTGTCTTTAATTGAAATGTAGTAGTTGAAACGTCGTAGTTGAAATGTCGCCTAGTTGAAAAGACTGGATTCCCTAAATCTCTCAAAACGTCAACAATTCAAACAAAATATACGTGTATTAACGCATTCACACATATGTACATTATCCGGTAAGAAATTTGAGAGGGGATAATCCTTACGAAATGATATTGTATTAATCCCTGAAGAATTTAAAAAGAGATAATCCACACGAAATACAATTTAATTAATCCAGTCAATCTGAAAACAGCAAAACGTTCACACGATACCTCTGACATTTATAGAGAGCACCAGAGGAGCCAAATTATTAGTAGACGAGCAATTTAATGAATTTAATGAATTTTAATCGTTGTACGATATTAATCATTAAGGATGTATTACACCCTTTTCGCAAACATTCACGTTTTTCGAATTTTTCTGGCAAATTGTTGATCGGATTGACGTAAAAAAATATACCGTTTTTGCGTTTTATCATTACTTAATGACTCATGAAATTTCATAATCGTGCAATCATTTTCCTGCGTTTTTTCTAAAACTTCTTGGAAATTCATAAAACTTTAGAAAAAATGCAGGAAAATTATTGTACTACCATGAAACTTCGTGAGTCAGTCAATAATGATAAAACCTAAAAACGGTATATTATTTCGCGTCAATCCGTTTAATAATTTGTCAGGAAAATGAAAAAAACGCGAATTTTGGCCGAAAGAGTGTAGTACATCCTTAAGGGGTAACAGAAGGCTACCGGTTCCTTGAAATGTTCAAACAAATTTCCTGCTCAGTTATTAATATTTTGTGAACCCAAAGCACATTGATCTTCATTATCGCTTCCTGGAGATTAATGTACTTGGATTTGTAAAAATATCGATAATTTCCAGCAGGGAATTTGTTCAAAAAATTGGAAAATCAGCGGCATTCTGTTATCCCTTAAGGGGTAACGGGACTGGCCGCAAATGAAAAGTCGGTAACTACCCCCCACAAGATGGTCGATAGATAAGAAAACCTATTTTCCGACGAAAATTGTTGGAAAACCGAAAAATGAATAAAAATATAATAGTACTTACGTCAAAAGCGGTTAGGAGAGAAAATTTATTAACAATTCACATTTTGATATTGAGTTTACAAATTATTTAAAAGTAAACGATAGAGGCACCATCTGCTGACTCGCGCGGGTAGCGCGCGAGGGCATTTTCGTTACCTTTTTATCCCGTAACCGGATTTATAGCGAAGCAAACAATTTCCTAGGAAAACTACGTAAAAACATGTGAATTTTTTTCATAGAAGTGATTCATTTGGGCTCTTCCGAGATTGTCTAGGTGTGGGAATAGAAAAAACTTCTTCCAAATTTGCAAAAAATGGATTTCCTCGTACTCGCGCGGCAGATCCCTGCATTGCAAATGACGTAAATTTTATCGAAAAAATTGAAAGGAAAAAAAACACGAAGAATTGAAAAAAATGGGCTGGAAAATCTTTCTCACACCACCATGGATCTCCTTACAAATTTTCAGCCAATTTTGTAAGGTACATTCAAAGCAAAGTTGTTTCGAAATAGAACCTTTTTACGAACGATCACGTTACCCCTTAAGGATGTTTATCCAAAATCGCAAGTACTTAAAAAAAAAATTGATTTTTTTTCGACTGAGAGATGAAGATATTCCCTTCACTCTGCTACAGATTTCAATCCACTAACCCATGTTCATTATTTAGAAATGAAATTGACAAAATGCACCTAATGCATGCGGTAACAGGCGCTTATATGCGATAGAATCATTCAAATATTTCCTCTTTTTGCCCGGGTACCCCAGATTTTTCTCTGGCCATTCGATTCAGTATGATTTTATACATTACTTTCTTTTTTTATTTCCATTTTTAGAGGCTTCTAGTACGTGAATTATTAATTTGAACATAAATTTCATAAGAGCCTGTGCATACGGAAAAACTAGTTTATTCATTTCTGCCGAGGCTATTGCGATTATTTCTTTTCAACTTTAGAAAAGATAGTTTTATATGTTCTGCTGTCAACCGAAAAAATTACAGAATCTTCCTAGACCATGAAAAAAAACACATTTACCGACAATTTATCGACACTAGCTAAACATCCTTAATGTATTAGTTCGGTAATTAAATTGAGTTGGAATACATTGCCTGTTGAAAACCAAAGAATAGGAAAAAGATGATCGAATCAATTATGACTACTAAATTATTGATCTCTCATAATTGTTAATAGAAAAAGAAAATGAATCTTTGTATGATATTAATCATTACTGTATTAGTTCAGTGGTTAAAATGAGTTGCATTACGTTCTCTGTTGAAAAGCAAAGAATAAAAAATATGAAAATTTACAAAATATTAGCTAGGGTGACCAGGCCAATTGCTGGACGGTTAAAGGAAATTCGAGTTTCGTGGTAGGGTCTAAAATAAAAAAATCACCTAAATGGGGATATGATGGCTTCCATACCTTTAAGAATGTTTTAATTAGCAGAAAAAAATTGTTTAAAGTGAAAATAACAAAACAAAGAATAATTAAATTGAGAAATAGTTGAATGTAGCCGAAACCCCCAATTTCTGGACGACTGGGTGATATTTTTTTTTATTTATTAAATGTTGATCAATAGAAGAAAATAATTGATCACATGATTATACACAAGGGATATTATGGAGAGGTGAAGTAATTAATGCAATTTTCATTTTATTTGTGGAATATTCAATGCAAGTTGAAATCGTCCAGAAACTAACCCCTGTCCAGAAATTGACCTGTTTACCCTAATTCCTAAAAAAATATAGTAATTTCACAAAAATTATTTGAAATGTCGTAGTTGAAATGTCGCCTAATAGAAAAGACGTGCCACCTACCTGTGAATGTATTGTTGACGCATAATCTTGCAAGGTTGGAGATTGTTCCTGAAAATTTATAGATAAATTAGGCACGTGAACTTAATGTGCAACAATTCGTAATATAGAGAAGCGTCAACGGAGAGAAACTCTTTAGAAAAATTCCAATTGTGCCAGTTAGAGAAAAATTCAAGTGTCAGATTCTGGAATTTAACTAAATCCATGAAAGTTGATTGAAAAATAAAAGTGAACGAATTTATTTGTCAGAAACGAAGGAAAATTCATTATTTTGATTGTTGGTGGAGGTTAATAAGAGGTTAGAGTAATAAAAAGTTAACTCTCATATGAATAATGAGTCAATTTACCTTGGAGAGGGTTGGCCACGTATGAACGAGTCATATTCATTAAACTCCTTGCGATGACACTCATTATTTATCACATTAAATCACTTTTCAGGGATAGCAATATTATTATACTTGGAGCTGATAAGGGCGAAATGTGGAGAGCGGCGAGAAGAGCACACACTACTCTGATGGTATTGCAGGAATCGTCTAATTTGGAACGGGATTTGAAAATTACTGCAGTGAAGAACATATTAAGAAATTATGATATTTATGCATTCAAAGAATTTTTCTTGCCTAATAGAAATAGTTGAACAAATTTATTAAAAATTATTATTATGAATTATTCAGTAGATTTTCTTTTTTTTGTTTTAACTATCATTTGTGGTGAATACATTTTTGTTCCAAACATATTATTGTCCATAATTTTCCCTATTATTGACAATTTCTAATACTTTCAAGAACAATTGAGGTTTCATCCCGAAAATCAATAGATTGTCGGAGACTTTTCCCATATTAATTTCCCTAGGAGTTTCAAATAATTTTACCGAATTTATATATAAATCATTGTTTTTAATGGCTCATATTTATATAATTTTGAATATCAGTATTTGTCCGAATTTTTCATCATTTTTTGGGAGATTTTTCAGTCACGAATTGAGAATTTATTATTTAAAATCCAAACGTATCAAATTTATGTATTAGTTATAAGTTTATAGTCATCAATTTATGGTTTAAGTCATATTATTGTCAATTGTTATCCTCATTATTTATTTAAAAAATTCTGGTCACCAAATATGTGTAAAAATTTCCTAATTTTCGAGAACCATTTTTAATTGTGAAGAGTCTAACTCTGGTATATTTTACATGAACAAATTAGCTAAATTAATAAATATCACAGAATACAAAATGTGGACGTCCATGAATAACAAATCGAGTTTACCCCTGAATATGTTGAAACTTTGTTTTAAGAAGAAATACATATTCTGTCTCCTCTGTCTCTCTTCATGTTCACATAACACACTCCAAAAATTGTTCGAATGTCAATCTTATTATAAAAAATCATTAGTGGTGAATATATTTCCCGCTCCAAAAATATTATTTTTATATTATTTTTAATATTATTATATTGCCCATAATCTCCCATTTGATTGACAATTTCGAATATTGTAGAGAACAATCGACTTTTCATTCCGAAAGTCACTAGACTGTCGGATGTTAATTCCCCTAGGAGTTTCGAATAATTCTATCGAATTTACATATAAATCATCGTTTTTGATGGCTCATATCTATATAATTTTAAATATCAATATTTGCCAGAATTGTTCATTAGTTTCTGGTAGATTTTTCAGTCACGAATTGAGAATTTATTTCTTAAAATCCAAACGTATCAAATTTATGTATCAGTTTTAAGTTTACAGTCATCAATTTATAGTTTAAGTCATATTCTTGTCCATTGTTATCCTCATTATTAGTTTTAAAAATTCTTGTCATCAAATTTCTGTAAAACTTTCCTAATTTTCGAAAACCATTTTCAGTTATGAAGAGTCCAGCTCTGTTATATTTTAGATGAATAAATCAGATAAATTAGTGAATATCACAAAATACAAAATGTGGACAGCCACAAATCAATTAAGTTTACTCCCCAATATGTTTAAACTTTTGTTTTAACAAGAAATACATACTCCGTCTCCTCTGTTTCTCCCCATACTCACATAGCGCTCCAAAAATTGTCCGAATGTCAATCTTTTTTTTAATCAGAAGCTGCTGAATGGACCTAATTTCATCACGCCACATGTCATCACGTAAGCAGAACGTCCCGGAAATGCCCACATATGACGCGACCATTAAAAAAACTATAAACTTCATCGCCAGATCTCCTCGATCCTCCTGCTGTTTCGTCGCTTTGATTGTCACCATCTTAGCAATCTCATCATTACGATCAACCGTCTCGAAGACCACAAACATTTTTTCAAGTTCGGAAATCACATCCTCCCTCGTGAACATTTTCCCATCCTCAATGTCATTCCTGCGTACATACGCAAAATGTCGAGGCTTGGCGTCTTTACATGGGCCTCGACATTTGAAATCCTTTCCAGATCCATCGTACACCGAATACTGCTGTGCCCCCCAGAAGAAAAGAGCTTCACTCTCCCCCACCGGCTCCACGAAGAGCCTGGCGACCATAAGCTCAGGGTGCAGTAGAAAATTGATTTGTTCTTCATCGATCTGAAACCCAAAAAGATCCCCACCGAAGACTCCCTCGGTATCCAGAACCTCCACTCCTTCCTCACGACAATCCGTCGACTCCATTATGTTCACTGCCCTCAACGGAACCTTCAATGTCCACCAGGTTGGAACTGCAGCAATATGAATTCTCTCAAACGTCAATGTATTATTCGAAGGTTTCTCGATGATGATCGAAAAATATGTGACGAAGCACTTGATCTTTTGCTTCACGATCTCATTCCTCTCGTGACGGTCATCACCAGAATCTTGGAAAGCCTCGAAGAGCTTCCAGAAGCTCAAGAACCTCCCTCCGTACTCTTCACTCCCCTCAGCATCACCAGGAAACGTGCAGAGGAATCCATTCGCTAGTAGACATCCCGCCTGTTCCTGAGTGATTTGAGTGATAGAGTTGTTCTGCCGTTTGCAGACATTTATTTCCTTTATCATCAACGCTGGTAGTTGCAGAGCCAGGTTTTTCATGGCTGCCAAGACCTGGAAGAAGAAATTTCTCGACTCAGCCAAGTCCAGAGACGAAAGGCAGTTCTCAAGACCTCGAAACTTCATTGAGACACTTTTCTTCCCACTGTATCGAAGGATTGATGTTTTGAGGCTGTTAATGCTGTAAGTTGCGGTCTTCAGAGAATCCTTAATCGTCGCCCACTCTGAAGATGAGTGAGGCATCACGACGGGATTTCGTTTCGGTTCCCGAACCGGTGGTGGAGAGTTTCTGGAGGCTCGGGCGATGTTTTCTAGAAACTGCTCCTGGATAGTGAGGAGTTGCAGCCCTGATGATGGAATTTCTGGGACTCTGTTAGTTGATCTCGAGGCTCGCGAATGACTCCTGAATGTTATGTTCGCCAGTTGGGAGATGTTCATAATTGAAGTTTCGTCTTCTGGGGGGTTGAAACCGCTTGAGGTTGTTGCAGACTGCTCCTGGGTCTTCTGTAATCCGTCTTTCGTCACGTTTTCTGTCTTCGCAGGTGTAGGTCCATCCAAGGAAGTTGGATGCAGACTGCGAGACTTGAATTGATATTTGTTCGCTGCCAATTCCTGAGTGTCTCTTCTCACCGGAATTTTCGAAGGAAGCGATTGGTGGGAAACTTCAACAGTATCTTCAGACTCTCGATCAGGGTCAACCTCTTGATCGTCTTGTGTGTCTCCACTGGAGCTTGAAGTATCACTTGAAGAATTAATTTCAGAATCACTTGTAGATTGAGGTTCCACTTTAGCTTCTTCCGGTGAAGACCCTCCAGAACTCTCAGCTCGTTCTTCATCTTTTCTCCTTGAAGAACGCTTATCCAACGAGAAATATTCCCTTGTGTTCCGAAAGTTGACTTTCTTCTGAAGCCATCGCTTCCTCCCCTGTGTTTTCGGGGGGAGTGAAGGCTGAGGAATGTCAATGTCATCTGTAGGTAAATCGTCAGCTCGTGAATTCTCTTCCTGACGAGTGCTGGACGCAGCCGGGAAACACCGATCAGGGTGAGGAGTCTCGATGGCTGATAAACTAACGTCTGGATCGAAAATCGAAGCGTTAGCCCCTGAGAGCACTGTGGATTTAGCCTTCACTCCTGTGTGCTGTTCAACGCCAGCGTCTTCTCTAGAAAATATTCGACCAGAATATTTTTCCTCCGATACATCACTTCCAGCGTCTGCAGATGGACGAGCTGCGTTCAAATCATCGGCTTCAACATTAGCTCCAACATTCGAGGGCCGAAGAGTTTTCCTTGATTTTGATGAGCTCACGTGAAAACGGTCAAGAACAGTCTGCTTCATGTTTATGTTGACCACAATAGTAGATGGGCGAGTTCCGGTGTTTTTGAGATGAGAAACGTGCGGAGAATTATTATTAACATCTTCATCTGAGGCTCCGCGGAACTCTTTCTGGAATGAATACTTCTCTCGCACAGTTTTCGTTACCTCGATCTCTTCGTCATCGTCTTCACCGGATGATCGACTCAAACGGCTTGAAGATGTCTTCTGTTGTATTTTAATATATCGATTTTTCAATTTGGTAGAGGTTTTTGGTGGGTGAGGTTGATTACAATCGTCGGTGGAGTGATAATCCTCATCCGTATTTTCAGGTTCCTTTTGAAGATGGGAACCTCTGGGAGCAGGTCTGCCTCGTGAGGTAACAGAGTTGCCCATATTTCGCGTAGTTTTTCGACTCACAACAGTGGAGGATGCAGTCGAACGAGTTGACGGAGGTTTTTCTGCTGGTGGTGAATAGCGGAACGCTTGGAGACGTTCCCTGGTTCGAGAGGGGCGCGCAGATGCTGCTGGGGATGCGACGTGGTGGATCGGTGACCTGGCGACGGTACCAGAAGAAGCGGCTTGTAGACGAGGGCTTCTTCTCGGACCCGGACGACCCGAGGCTGCAGCAGGGGCTCGGGAGGGGCGTGGAGATGTTACTGGGGATGCGACGTGGTGGATCGGTGACCTGGCGATGGCACCAGGAGGAGCGGCTTGTAGTCGAGGGGTTTTTGTCAGGCCTGGTAGACCCAAAGCTGCAGCTGGGGGGTTTAATGGCTGGAGGAGGCCAGCCTTCCGGGGATTTTGGGGCTCGTCAAGCTGATCCTCCCATTCTGAATCTGATGTTTGTAGCTGCGCGGCTTTTGATATTTTTTTGGTGTTCTTGGCAGCGGTTTTCTTCTGGGGGGAAATGGGGAAGATGTGGTTGCATATATTAATTTCGGCTGTATTCATTAGAGAGGTTGGAGTACACGCATGACAAAATTCAATAGAAAAACTAGCGGATTCGCTAGGAAATTTTTTTGTAATTCTATAGGAATTCTATGGGGTTTTTATAGGATTTCTGTTGGAATTTTATTGAAAAATTTTATTTGTTTTTTACGCTGATTCTATTGCATACTTGATAGGAGAAAGTCAATATATTTCGAATTTCTGTTCGAATTTCCCACTTAAGATTTTTTCTATTAGAATTATTCGGCCCAAATTTTATAAATTTTTTCCGCTGGATTTTATTTTGTTTTACGTTACAGAATCTCAGTGGAAAAAACTCGAAAAATTGATGCCCAAACATTCTTATAGAAAAAATCTCAAGAGAAAAATTGAAATAGAAATTGGAAATTTTCTTATGGAATATCCAATATAATCAGCGCAAAAAATAAATAAAATTTTTCAATAGAATTCCTATACAATTCCAACCGAATTTTCTAGCGAATTCGCTAGACAATTGGATTTCTATTCAACTTTCTATTAGTTTTTGGTCGATTCTATTGAAATGTTCAATAAAAAATATTCTATGAAAGAATATTTTTTATTTAATTCGATTTTCTATTCAACTCAATAGAATTGTAATCAATAGAATTCGACTTTTCTCTACAACTCAATCAATTGAGATATTTTCATCACACTGTCCGAAAAAAGTCGTTTTACGGACACTTCGTGACCATCACACGCAGATTACGAACATTGTGAAGAAATAGTATATTTCGTCATTAGGCCGAAAAAAACTTTTCTGGCGAATATGAGTTTGCAACCCGCGCCGAAGGCGAGGGCTGCAATCGTATGAGCTAGAAATGTTTTTTAGGCCGTATGACAAACAATAATTTTTGCCATAACGGCTGTAAGCAGCGATTACGCTGTAGGCAGCGTGAAACGCTGCTTTACGGCCGGAATGACAAAAAGTCATGTTCATCACTCGACCGAAATAGTATTTCATCACGCTGTGACGAGAAGTGAACTTTTCGGCACGCTCCGCGTGCCTAAAAGTCCACTTTCCGGCACATTGTGATGAAAAATATTGTTCGTAACTGAAAAAATGTTTTTTACACTCGTTACGAAATATACTATTTTCCGGCCTGTTGCGATGGGGTTTTTTACTCGTGTGGCGTTGGCCTCCGAGCCGTAGGCGAGGACTGGCCAACCACACGAGTAAAAAAACTCCATCGCAACAGCCCAGGAACAATATTTTTCTGTAGTGATTTTCAAGTTTTCGAGTTTGGGAAGTATGTAATACCAATTCCCAGACGAGAAATCGTGAGAAGCAGTACAGAAAACAATTTTTCGGCCTTGTGCCGAAAATAACTATTTCTATAGAATTTTCTCGGCTCAAATTTTCCAAGTTTTTTGTTTGATTTTCTTGATGAAAAAAAAGAACAATAGAATGAAAAAAATTCAGAAAATTTGAGTCGAAAAAATTATACTGAAAATGTGTCAATAGAATAAGTTGTATAGAAAAATCGAATTCTATCGACTTCTTCTATAGAGTATTTTCTATTGAGCATTTCCATAGAATCGGCCAAAAACTTATAGAAAGTTCAATACAAGGTAAACAAAAACCGGAGTAAAACCGGGGTGATAATCTTAATATGAAACCGGAGTTCGGTTTTCAAAGAAGTTCTTGAAGGGGGTGACTAGGTCAAATTTTGACCGTTGTGGGGTTCATACCAGCTGCGTCGTGAAGCTTGATACTTTAAGAATAAGTGCTTCACTACACGTTGATTTTATCCAACGTTGAATTTAACACATTCATTTATCCCATTCATCCCATTGAAAAAGTCGAGACTATTACACCCCCCTCATCCCTATCAAACATAAATATTATAATTTTAATCACCATGGGTTTGTCGCGTCTTGCGCCTTGCGAGCTTTTGACCCCACTAGTTGAGCTCTTTGAGTATTTCGAAGCCTCTAGCTTGAAGAAATCAGTATGTACTTTGTTTTCGCGAGATCTTGAACGCGTGATCCTCCTAGGGGCCAGGACGATCTCATCCACGCGAGTATCCTCTGTCGCTGCAAATAGACTACCCGAATCCGTCGGTTTTTTCTGTGGGATAATGAATAAATTTCGTATCAATTCAATTGTTATCCAGCAAATGTGGATGATATTATCAAAGCTATGTACACTCTGATAATATTGATACCATTCCGCACATTTTAAGGGGATGCGTCGGTGAACTTTAAAAGTCTTCACTGGGCCTTGGGGCCCATCAAACAGTTTGTGATGTATGACGGAATTCGGGAAATACTACACGTATGAAAAAAATTAAGTAGAAAGTCTAGCACATTCGCTAGAAAATTCCATCAAAATTTTATAGAAATTCTATGGGATTTCTATTGGAATTTTATTGAAAAATTCAATTTTTTTTTGCGCCTATTCTATTGGATATACAATAAGAAAAAGTTAATAGATTTCGAATTTCTGTTCAAATTTTTCGCTTGAGATTTTTTCTATAAAAATGCCTGGGCATCAATTTTCTAAGTTTTTTCCACTTGGATTCTACAATGCAAAACAAAACAAAATCCGGCGGAAATAACTTAGGAAATTGTGTGTTCAATAATTCTAACAAAAAAAATTTAAGGCCCGGGTGTACTATCTTTCGAATGTTATCTGGATTTTTTTTTATCTTTCGTAATCCAAAATTGTCAATTGAGTGGTACATCATGTAGAAATTCCCAAAAATTATTATAGAATGATTAAAAAAATAGAAAAAATTCGGAACTTTTTCTAAGAGCGTTTTTAATTGAAATTGAGAATGAGTTGAAAAAAGTGGAAATTACAAATATCTGATTCGCTGTGGCAAATTATCTATTAGTTGTCATTTTCCATGGTGGATAACAAAACACTAACTCCTCATGGGAAGTGACAGCTAGGTATCTCAATTTTCAAAACAGTGGTATGTAGTCATCTGCCATTTTTATGTGATAAAAGTGTGATTAAAAAATTCTCCAAAATATTACAACTTCTTTCAACGAGCCTTTTCCGTAATACCTAAATGTCTCTGTGCTGTGTGGGAAAAGGTTTACGAAATCAGTCTTCCCCCTGCATGATATTGGGTGACAGGACGCCATTTGCCACCGTAAATCAGATACATTTTTCAATTTCTTGTTATTCAACTTATTCTGAATATAAATTAAAAATGCTCTGTGAAAAAATTAAGAATTTTTTCTACTTTTTCTTTTATTATTCATTCATAATTTTTCAAAACTTCTGCATGATGCAGGACTTAATAGACAATTTCAGACGACGAAAGATGCAAAAAACATCGAGATAACGTTAGAAAGATAGTACACCCGGGCCTTAAAAGAAAAATTCAAACAGAAATTCGAAATCTATTGACATTTTGTTATTGAATGTCCAATAGAATCAGCGCGAAAAACAAATCGAATTTTTCAATAGAATTTTCTAGCAAATTCGCTAGGTTTTCTATTGAATTTTTTCATGACTGTAGAACAAATCACGGACCAGATCTACAGGGATTCTACAGGGAAAAATTTCGATTAATTTTTTAAAGTTTATAATTATTAAGGGAGCTCACTCAAGGCCATAACTAGCATAATTATCTTCTATAACAATATAACTGTCATACTTCAAACGTCATGAGAATTGCTTAGGAATGACTCGACCGGAGAAATACGGTATTAATCCATCAGCTAGTCTTGGTTCTGTCTGCACTACGACCTCCATTGAATTTTATCTTTGGAATATGTTTTCGAGTGTGCTGAATCCGAATCTGAAGTTCGTTTTGCCGAGTCATGGTCGCTTCCATTTATTTATAATAAGTTAATTGTTTATAAAGCTTTTGCGGCTGAACGCTTAGAGATACGAATAAAACTCCTAAAGAAAAAATGTTCCTCTACCAAAGATACATAAATCTTGTTTTCTGACTTTTTTTTCATATCTCTATTATTGACAGAGATAATTGACATTGAATGATAGAGAGCTGGCGCGCTCAGTTCCAAAGGCAGCGCGCCGGCCGCCCAGGCTTTCCAGGTAATGCTCTGTACTCCGATTCGCTTATTTCGTCCACAGAACCATAACACGTCGTGTTTTGATCTATTTTTGTTTTCCCTCCATTATTTTCGTAGAGATAAAACTGAGAGGTATTGTGTCCAAGCAGTTACTCAATAGCTCTTGAGACGTTAAGGATGTTTTACACCCTTTCTGCCAAAATTCACGTTTTTTAAATTTTTCTGGCAAACTTATGATGGAATTGACGTGAAAAAATATAACGTTTTTGCGTTTTGTCATTATTTAATGACTGACGAAATTTTAAGGTGGTGCGAACATTTTCCTGCGTTTTCTCTAAACTTTTAAAAAGAATCACAAAACTGTAGAAAAAACGCATAAAAATTATCGCACCACTACGCAACTTCGTGAGCCATTAAAGAATGACAAACCACAAAATCGTTATATTTTTTCACGTCACTCCCATCGATAATTTGCCAGAAAAATGAAAACAACGTCAATTTTGGCTAAAAGGGTGTCGAACATCCTTAACGTCTCTTATTTTTCTCTCTATTCAAATGGGACGAATTATTTCGGTGTCTTACGCGTGACTTTCACGACTTAATCAATGCAAAAAAATATCTTTAGATGCCCAGTATGTCACGTGAGACTTTGGTGTACTAGGGAAAAATACAGAAAAAGTGTTCAATTATTAAAAAAAAAAAATGAAAACTGTAAAATTGCGTCGTAGCAAAAAAGGAGAGGAAATCACAATAGGAATAGATTCAAATATTAAAAATGACAATTCTCAGGATGGACCACAATGAACAGAAGGAGGGGGAGAATCGGGGAGTCCTAAAAGTGCAATTCCAAGACGATCAACTCGTTCTATGATAAATTTACCTTCAGTATCCCCAAATGAATCTCCACTTGAGATTTTCTCAGTACTCACGAGGAAAATTTCTCACAGTTACGGAGCTACCACCTACGAGTGCAAACATTCATTATCATATTTTACGCGCTTTATACCAGACATACCTCAAGCGGAATTTTTTCCATGAATACGGTCTGATTGAACTAGATGCAGAGAGATTTGGATACAAGGTTGATGTTGATGACCAATTGATTCCTAGACGGATGACCGAAATTTCTCCCCCAAGTGATAGTTTAGTTTCCAATTGTGCCAATTGTACAAATTGTTCACGTGTACATGTATATGTATTAAATATGAAGTTCCATGTTGCGCATATTGTTCTTGCCAACGGCATAAGAGATGTAAAAACCCTACGAAATAAATGTTTAAGATTTTTCATCGTCTTTTTTCGATCAGCGGCTCGCAAGATCACCGCCGCCTGCGCTGAGAGCGTAGAACGTCTCCCCTCCCCACTAGATGTACGATAACTTTCTCAATAATAGAGATATGACAAAAAGTCAAAAGACAAGATTTATGTATCTTTGGTAGAGGAACATTTTTTCTTCAGGAGTTTTATTCGTATCTCTAAGCGTTCAGCCGAAAAAGCTTTATAAACAATTAAATTGTTATAAATAAATAGAAGCGACCATGACTCGGCAAAACGAACTTCAGATTCGGATTCAGCACACTCGAAAACATATATTCCAAAGATAAAATTGAATGGAGGTCGTAGTGCAGACAGAACCAGGGCTAGCGGATGGACTATATTGAAAAAATCAATACTTCTCTCAAGTAAATGGATATTTGGCAAAAATAATTTTTTTTTCAATGTAGTACAGCCCGCACTATAAATTCCACCATTTTCAATCATCAAAAATCATAAATATTCAGCGTCATTCAAATTACATTTTGCCCAGAATTATTATAATTTTAAACATTCATTGTTTATAAATAAATAATTGAAATTTTTTAAACTTTCGAACACCTTATTTTTTAGGCAGAAAATTGATTGTTCATAAATTGTTTATAGAAAATGCTCGTAATTGTTGAAACTTGCAATTGTTGAAATTTTAGTAATTTCATCAATCTGCCTCAAAAAGTAAACTTTCTATTTTTTTCAGGTTTTCAAAATGTTTTCTAACGGTTTAATATCGAGATTCAAATTCAGACCTGCAAAGTTTAAATAATAAAATCATTATAAAATGTCCGGAAACTTAGGGTCAAGTGGAACTCAAGTGAAAGCTCTGATGTTCGACTCGAAAAGTAGAAAAGGATTTCACTGGAGAAAAAATAACCAAAGTACTTGGATATCCTTAAATAGGGGAAAAATTGCGAGATTAATAGTAAATTTTACTCCGTTGGCCCGGGAAAATTTACTGAACGTGAGGGTGATTTGTATCGAAACTGTAGAATCACCTTGCATCCCATTCAAACTTATCCCAGTGAACGTGATTAATTGCTCGAATTTTTCGTATAATTTTTCTGTAACTGAGAATGATTTTCACCGGACCCGCTTGGCAAAAATTCACTTCTGTCCGTCCCCATGACCTTCATGTGTGCAAAACAAGCACCTACCGGTGTGGAAAATTTTACTAAATAGGGGGATAATTTTTGCATTCATAGATGTGTTTTTTCACCGAGAAAATCCATAGATGTGTTTTTTTCCCGATACGAGGAGAAAAATTCAATGAAAATTACCAGAAAAAAACGTAAAAATTACGTTTCGAAATGTAATCCGCGAACGAAGTAAAATTCAGTGAAAAGTATGAGCCGGAACTGAAATTGTAGTAATCGCCACGTAAATTCTACGATTGGTTCAGTAAAAATTAACCACCCGTCTGATGACTCGTCGCTGTGCCAACAAGTCGTTCCATAATTTTTCCCCGACGATTGAGAAATTTTACGGAACGGAACGTAGAAATAACTCACCAGCTTCATAAAAATTGTTGAACGTTCAAGAATTTTTCATTTTGGAGGCATAACAAGTCGGGAAGTTTCTATAAGATTTTACTTCTTCAGGAAAAATTACGTGACAATTTCATACTTTGTTCGGTGATGAACCTGAAAATTCACTGAACATTTCAAATTTCTTCTCTTCTATTCCTATAAATATTGCCGGAAAATGATTCCCCATTGCGGATTACGTGAATTGTTCTGTAATTTTTATTGAATATTTCTCTCTGTGGAGAAAATCATAAGATCTCCGCTAAAAACTAGTATTTCTTCACTGAATTCCATTTTGCGCCACGATTACCATCTATACAGTAAAATTTGTCAAAAATTAAATATGGCCGTATAATCGACGGAGAGTATTATGGAGTTTTACGTTTAAGCAAACACCAAAAAAGGTTGAAGTACTCACCACCCTCCCGACTTTAAACGGCATCCTTATTACTTGAAAAAGTGATAATATAGTTCCCAAAACTTCTGTGAATTTCTCCGAATTTTGATGGTATTTTTCGTTTCAAAACTAATGGAAACGGTTCCTCTACAGGACAATAATAAACATCCCAGCTGCTCGGAGTCCTTAATCGGCACCGAATGATTCCCTTGGTTCAACACAAAAGGCCTCGTTCATCCTGTTTGGCGGGATTACATCACATTCATCAGAATATAATGTATCAATCACACACTGTATGCAAATTTCAGAAATTTGAATTTGCGAAAGATTCCGTGTTTATTGATTGCGCATCACTGCATCATTAGTCGATCTGTCAGGTTCCGTCGATATATTACCATGAAAAAATGAAAAAACGAGAATAAAACTACATTCTTCATTGTATAATGGTCTTTTTTCATCCAATTAAATAGGTATTATCACGACGAGTATTTTGAGAGAAAAAAACATTGCATCGATCGAATGGTTCAGGAGATATCAGCAAAAAACCATTTTCGAAGAATCGCGATATCTTAAAAGCCGCTCAACCGATCGAGCTGAAATGTAGTACAAATTTGAGTCTGAGTAGTACCAATTAAGGGGAGACTACAATGAGTTTTCAAAGTCGTGGATTATTGGAGGGAGACTTTTCATACGTTGAAGATCGATAATATAGGACTGAAAACGAATAATTGGTGCAAAAAAATTTTTGTTTATTGTTCGTTTGCTCGAAAACGCTTAAAATGCTAAAAACAGTCCAGAGCCTCCAATTTTTGAACTACAAAAGATTTTTTTTTTTCAAAATTTTCGGAAAAATGTGTGGAACAACAATTACGCCAGTTTTTTAGAATTCGACTCCTACACAGCTGATTTCGGTTTTTTTATATTAAAAAAATCACTATTTGTGTAAAAAAAATATAAAAAAAGCAAATTTAGCCATGTAAGAGGCGAATTAAAAAAAATAGCTCATAATTGTTATTCCACATATTTTTCCAAAAATTATGAAAAAAAAAATCCTTCGTAGCTCAAAAATTAGAGGCCCTTGACTGTTTTTGGCATTTTAAGCGTTTTCGAGCAAACAAACAATTAAAAAATTTTTTTTTGCACTAATTATTCGTTTTCAGATCTATATAATAGATCTTCAACATATGAAAAGTCTTACTCCAATATACCTATTTTTATTTCTATTTTTAGAGTCTTCTAGTAGATGAATTATAAATTTCAACATAAATCCCATAAGACCACGTGTGTAAACAAAAATTTGTTCATTTATTTCTGGCGAGACTATTGTGATTAATTTCTTGTAACATCAAAATAGTTAGTTTCATATGTTCTACAGGCAAAAAAATTATAAAATTTTCCTTGAACATGAAAAAATAAGATTTGCTGAAAATGACTAAACATCCTTAACAGCCAGAATTATAGCATCTTTGCCTCAATAATGCTCGAGTTATGGGGATAGTTCTGGATATACGAACACACATCTGAATACACATACCTACGCGCATAGACATTTTTTAAAAACGTCATTTCTTCACGTTTCATGAAATTTCTAGGCATTTCCACCCAAAATTAAGAAATCGAAAAAAATCACCATTACAAAGCTGCCATTCGGAAGCAAAAGGAATAATTTTCATTCGAAACATATTTATGTATCTCTCCCGGTTATTGCGAAAAATCATTTTACTGAAAATGGAGACTAATTTGTTTATAACAGATTATTGCGCGACTGGAGAAAAAAATAAAAAAATTCGGATTCTTCACCCCCAAAAACATGAACTCCGATACTAAAATTTCGTCGACCTCTTCCACCATGTGACCACGTTCTTTTCTTCACGTTTCATGTCATTTCTAGGCATTTTCACTCAAAATTAAAAAATCGAAAAAAATCACCATTACGAAGCTTCCATTCGGAAGCAAAAGGAATAACTTTCATTCGAAACATTTTTCTGTATCTCTCCCGGTTGCTGCGAAAAATCATTTTACTGAAAATGGGGACTAATTTGTTTATAACAGATTATTGCGCGACTGGAGGGAAAAATAACCAAAAAATTCGGATTCTTCACCCTTCAAAAACATGAAATCCAATAATAGAATTTCGTCGACCTCTTAGTAACCACCTTCGTTTCTTCACGTTTCATGGCATGTCTAGGCATTTCCACCCAAAATGAAGAAATCGAAAAAAATCATCATTACGAAGCTGCCATTCGGAAGCGAAAGAATAACCTCATTTCTACGCATTTCCAGCCAAAATTAAGAAATCGAAAAAAATCACCATTACAAGGTTTCATTCGGAGGAAGAAAAAAGAAAAGGAGGAAAAGGAATAATTTTCATTCCAAACATTTTTCTGTATCTCTCCCCGTTTTTGCAGAAAATCATTTGTTTACTGAAAATAGGCACTAATTTGTTTATAAAAAATTATTGCGCGACTGGAGGAAAAAATAATCAACGAATTCGGATTCTTCACCCCCAAAAACATGAAATCCCATAATAAAACTTCGTCGACCTTTTAGTGACCACGTGCTTTTCTTCACGTGTCATGACATTTCTAGGCATTTCCACCCCAAATTAAAAAATCGAAGAAAATGACCATTACAAAGCTTCCATTCAGAAGGAAAAAGAATAACTTTCATTCGTTGTTCTCTATCTCTCCTGGTTGTCGCGAAAAATCATTGTACTGAAGATGGGGACTAATTTGTTTATAACAAATTATTGCGCGACTAGAGGAAAAAATAACGCGAAAATTCGAATTCTTTACCCCCAAAAACATGAAATCCAATAATAAAATTTCGTCGACCTCTTAGTGAACACGGGAGGGGAGTATTGCAGATCGACTCACAACACAATTTTCTGAATTTGAATGACCAAATATATTTAGAGACACCGTCGAATACAAGGTACAAATTCCTTAAAACCTATGATCCTTAACTTGTTAATTCGAAATTAAAAAGGGGCGATGATGGATGGAGGGAGATGATGATAAAATAACTGATCCAGAATTCCATTAAAATCTTCTCTTCTGAAGATATTTTGTCGTTACCGCTCTTTACCAGGAGTTGTAGTATCCAAGATTGTGACCGAGACCGGTGTAGGGCAGACGCACTGCAGCTGGGGCGGTGTAGACTGGAGCTTGGTAAGCATGGTTGTAACCGTGACCCGCAAGGAGAGGAGAAGTGGCGAGTGGTGTAACGGGAGCCGCATGTCCATAGTAGTAGGGGTTGTTCAGATATCCGTGAGCAAGTCCTGAAAAAAATTCAACAAATCCAAAGCGATATTTTTTTTTACTATTGCCCAAAACGTCATGAACAAACAATTGTGTATTTCTCCTTATCATACTGAGGATAATTTTCTATTAAGATAATGAATTCCAATTTCAGTGGATAATTTGACAAAAATATGAAAAACAGCTCCATTCGAAAATTCATTAATCGGAAATATTTTTAGTCGAACTTGTCAGGTCCTTTGAACGAAATGAAATTGTCTACAATTATATACGATTCAATTTTAAGGGAATATTGTCTTCCCTCGGTGTAAGCAATTAATAATAATGAAAGAAATTGGAAAACTATTACCATTGTATCCATAGTTTAGACCGTGGTATCCTCCCAAATAATTCCCGCCATATCCAACGGGAGCAATGCCTCTCTTCTGCTGATTCTTCTGCTCAACTGCCTCTTCACCGAAGATTGGTGCAGCCAGAGCGAGAATGGTGAAAATGAGCTGAAACAAAAAAATATATAAACTCCATTAAAATCCGGAAATTGGCCATTCCCTTTATCTGAACTCCGACACTCACCAGGACGTTCATGTTGATATCGGTTTGTAAATAGAACTGGTAAGTTCCTGATGCACAGTGATACTGCTGATGTGATACTGATGCGGATAGTCGCTGGCACACCCACTTTTATACTTGGTTCGGTTCTACTTCTAGTTTCAATTTCTTCACTTGAGCAGTCCTTTTTCTTTTTTTTTCTGCAGGGGCGAAATAGAATCGTAACTGTGACGAAATATGCTACATGACACTAACTGCAGGATCGAAAAAGAAGGGACAAAGTTCAGGCACATGGAGCCCGTAAATTGATAGTTTGGTGAAAAAGTAAGCAATTATGAATTCTTTCCACATTGTTAAAGTACAAAAACAGAAAATTAATGAATTTTTCTCATATTGATGTCCATTTATCGTTATGGTTCACATTCTTTCTGTCATCGAGAATGACTCAATTCTATTTCTCGTTCCATTCTCCTGGAGATACGAATGTTTCTGTTTGTTGGAACGATTCATCTCACCCTTGAAACAAATGTAAGAATTGATGCCAGTAATTTTTTTTTCATCGTGACCAGCAGTCTAAGGGGTATTTATAGAAAATTTTGGCCACATCTGCGATGGGAGGGAAATTAATTCTAATTTATGAAATAACATTTTTCTGGGGAAGCCTTCAGAACTGAAACCTAATCCAAACCTATCTGGATGAAGTTTTTAGATAAAATTATTAGAAAAAATTCTCAAAGTAATAATAATTTTAATAAGTAATAATTTTAATAAGTAAATACATAATAACAGTAAAAATTCTTTAAGGTGTACAGCATGAAAACTGGTTTTCCTTAGCATTGTCTCCATGTTTTTCATAGATAACGTTTATAATATTCTCCAGCTATCGAAAACAATTCTAACTAACTGTACTACTTAGTTTAGGAGATAATACATCTTGGAATGCGGGCTTCTAGCACGCGTCACGCACAAAACAAATTTAATAGAAAAACCTAACGAATTCGGTAGAAAATTCTATTGGATTTCTATTGAACTTTTTATTAGTTTTTGTCCGATTCTACTAAAATATCCAATGGAAAATATTCAATAGAAAAAGTTAATAGAATTCGATTTTTCTATAACTTATTCTCTTCAGATATTTTCTTTAGAATTTCCTCGGCTGAAAATTTCTAAATGTTTTTCATTCTATTTTTCTTTTCTTTTCATCAAGAAAGTCAAATAAAAAGAATTAGAAAATTTGAGCCGAGGAAATTCTATAGAAAATATCTCAATAGAATAAGTCGTATCAAAAAATCTAATTTTATTTACTTTTTTTATAGAATATTTTCGATGAAATATTTCAATAGAATCGGCCAAAAACTAATAGAATGTTTAATAGAATTCGCTAGGTTTTTCTATTAAATTTTTTCATCCATTGTAGCATAGGTCAAACGGGGGTGATGGGTCCCCTCGAACTCGATTTTTTCATGTGATGGAAAAATGGTTCTTATGATGTTCTTAAAAAACGAATCCGTGGTCGATTGATAAATTCCGAATACCGTGAATTTTTTGTAAAATTTTCTAGTACATAGTTTCTGCGATATTCCATTGTGAAAAATGGAAATTTCGTGAAATCATTGATAATTTTATTCAAACAATTGATTAACAAATAATTTTTTAGTTGATTCAAACAATTATTGTTGCCTTTATCAACAACACTAGGCAATCGTGCGCGCCGTCGCGCGCGACCACCTTCCAGTGTGCGCTGTAACGCACAATAACATCCTCGTAGTCATGGAAATCATTGATTGATCCATCAACCAATCGCAAGGCGAATAAAAAGTTAAAAATCAAAACAATCATTCATTGTCAATCAACTTTATGAAAAAGGAATATGACGATAGAAAAAATCAATAACTTATGAGATGGCAATAAATTAAGTCATTTCGATTTTTTTCCGAAAATTCATAGGGTTCAATTCACTGACTTTTGGGTGGTATTGTCTCGGAATATACCTTAAACTTATGGCCTTCCACCATCATACCCATTCAGTACAAAATCATTTTTAGATCGTCATGTTTTAACCCCTCACTTACGGGGCCCTTCTGTTACCAAGTCTAATGTGAGCTCAATATTACTGTGATTCGATAATTTCTGAAGCATGAAAAATTATGAAACACACATGTAATTAAAACTAGAATATTCAGTTTTCCATTGAAATTGGTATAATTACTTTATCTCTCATAGTTTTGGAATTGTTCAATTTTGAGAAAGGTCATGCGTTTTTAGCTGGGCATATGCGATTATAATATTCTATTTCAACTCAAACTCACTTTTCTCTTCGAAGGCGCATTCTCATGATAAAATTAAATAAACGTCTCAGAAAACTAATTTACATAATTTATTGTTATCCCCATAAATACTCGAAATATTTTCTCGACCGAATGACAATAAAAACAACTTTCGTCTACGCATCTTAAATTTCGTGACTTTCACTGTTACACTTGCGATTACCCAATGCTCCAACCCTGCATTTCAATGACAATTTTTCTTAAATTCAATCGTCTCATATGGCACTTCCTCCCATGCAACATTCCCCATATCATACCTCAAGTCCCAAGAATAAGAATGATGACAATGTCATGTGTCCTACATCTTGCCAATTACTTATGGACCCCAGGGGACAATTTGCATTACAGAACTCCCCGATTTTTTCCCATCTAAAAAAACAATTTTGATGCTGAAACGAAGGACGTTATGATGCCAAGATGTCGAGTCCAAGATTTCCTGTGCCCCTGGGTACGTGATAAACGTAACAATCGTTGCCTGCGTCTATCCATCCACCTGAATTACGATCATGTTTGCGTTGGCAAAGATCTATGGGTCGTACTTGTCAGTGGCGGTTGTACGCTACTGACCGCCCCAGGGCAGGATAGGTTTAGACTCCAATTGTCGTTACAATAAATGAGAGTAAAAACATTATAAAGGAAGAGTAATTGACAATTTCATTATTACCCGAGAGGCTTAGCGGTGACTTTGATCGTCAGACCATTTAAAATAATGTTATCCTTTTCTTGCTTGTGTCAGGGACTCGTGTGCATGTTTTTCACTCTTAATTGATGTAATTAAAATTCGACGGGATCATGAAGTCTCTGGGGAGGCTTGGGAACTAGGTGTGAAAATTCATCGGTTTTTCTTACTTTAAAAAAATTATGGTGCAATCCACGGATTTCACTTTTCCGTTTTTGGGTTTCTATGTGCAATTAATTAGTCTAAAATTATTCATTCGATTGTCTTCATTTGGAACCTCAAGTGATCAATATTAATTGTTTTTCCCATATTTGAAGAGAAATATCTTAGCAGAGAAAACAGATCAGCAGTTCCATAACTTTATAAATAGTTGTTCGATTTATTTGTCACAAGTTCTCGTTTTAGTGCCCCTCAAATGGGCCTGTGGCATGAAAAGGGCACACTTCCAATTTTGGTTTTTGGTATGCAATAACAACGTCATTTTTCAAGTGATTGAATGTGTCTTTGGCTTGAGATCTTTGGAATTTCATTAATGTTATAGGAACATGTACAACTTCCAACCGACAAAGTGGCGCCCTTTTTATGTGAATAACCGTTTACCTGTTTTTTGTGTAATTAATTGTAGTGCAAGTGGCCCGGTGTAGAGCATTCTCACCTGCAAAAACCAGAGCGCCTGGTCAGGGTTGTTCGAGCCCAGTAGGATGCCGGGATTTTTTGAATTTGGATGAGCGGAACTGATGGTTCGCTTGGATTTTCTGTGATATTCTCTGCTGGAAGACAATAGTTGTTCATTCTCATGAGATAAGTCTATTAATTTTATTGTTTAAGATATTGTTCCTCAGAATTTTAAGTTTTTTTTGTCAGGTAACGTATGAAAAAATCCTATAGGATTTCCCATAGGATTCCCTATAGAAAATCGTATGGAGAATTCGAACATTTTCTATAGGATTTTTCACATAGGATTTCCTATAGGATTTCTTATAGGAAATTCTATAAGATTTTCAATAGGATTTCCTATGAAATTTAGGGTCAACAGAGTCATATGGGGGTCATATAAGGATCATATACGGGTCAAGTGAGGGTCATATGAATGTCATGTGGGGGTCATATGGGAATCACGTGAGAGTCATATAAGGGTCATATGTTGGTTATATAAGAGTCACATGACGTTTACATGGGGAAATACAAGGGTCATACAAAGCTCATAGGAGGCTCATGAGGATCAAATGACCTTCATATGACCCCCATATAATCCCTATATAACCCTCATATAACTCCCATGTGACCCCATATGACCCAGATATGATTCACATATGACCCCTATATGACCTCCATATGGCCCTCATTGTGACCCTTATGCCCCTAAATTTTATAGAAAATCTTGTTGAAAATCTCATATGAAATACTATAGGAAATCCTATCCGGAAAATCCTATAGGAAATGTTCGAATTCTCCGGATTTCCTATAGGAAATCTCATAGGATATGCTATAGAAAATCCTGTAGGATTTTTTCATACGTGCGTGCACTATCGAAAAAAAAGTTTTGTTTTTCAAGGGGGATCTCTTGTCTATGGTAGCTTATGAACCCATCGAGCGACATTTGATATATGCTGGGACATCTAAAAAAATAGGAATCATGTAGAATTCATTCCATTTTGCCCCGTATTTCATGGTAAAACCTCATTTCTCGAATGTTTACCGTAACATGCGCCATGCACTATAATTTTCATTCGATTCGGACTTTTTTGAAGGTTCGTTAGACTACAAAGAATAAAAAAATGAAATCCATTTTTGAAAATCTGAATTAGATCGTAATGTTTAACGTTTAAAATATGTTCATTTTGAGTAGTTGAGAAGTTGCTATTCATATTTTCCTGATTGAATCCTTTCTAGATACCATTACAATATTCAATTACTTCAAACAACATTTTTGTAAACTTTATAAGAAAAACCAATGGAAACGAGAAAATCGAAACAAAAATTGAATTTCTCATGGTCAATTTTTATTTCTGGAGTGTAACGAACAGTAAGAAAATGGGCCATTTCGGCGGTAGAAATCCGAAACATGAAGTTTTACTATGAA